AAATTATGAAATTTTTAGGCTATAATAATATTTAAAAAATCGCTTTTAGATTATATATATTGTGATATGAATCTCTTTCCAGATAATGATATACAAAATTAAATTATGATATACAAAATTTTATTAATTTTGGTTGAATTGTCTATAAAATATAAATCAAATGTGGCGAGCCCATACAAGAATTACTCAAAATTAAATGTCCATTTTATTTTGAACAATAAATGTACAATTATGCCTCAAAGTTTGGTTTTAATATCCGCTATTTTACTGTATATTATTTTTAAAAACTTTGGCATGCAACTAGTAGTTAGTTTTATTAAAAAATGGGGTTTTATGACTGCAAATTCGACCCGAATTGCTGGTTAACCGACTCGGTTGGGCAATCATACCAGTTGATTAGTTATTGAATTCAATTTGTTTTTATTAAAGGCTTCGACAAACTACAACTTAAGTCTGTTTAAGGCGCATTTGTTTATCTTATATATATAAATATTATAATATTCATATTTACCTTCAAAAAGAAGAAATGTCTGGAAACCAAAGTAAATAAATTATTTTCAATTATTCATATATGTGCATAGCCTTTCCAAACGATATATGATGTAGAATACATTCCACAGTCAGAATGACAAATTATATATTCTTATTGAAATAAATAATGATAACTTAATTAATAATATACATTATTTATTACAAAATATTTTATTAAACTGTTATTTGAAATATTTTTGCCTCCATATGTATTGAGACTAACCAATATGGATGTTTACCTTTAACTATTTTTTTCTCAAGACTTGATTGAAGAAAGAAAGAAAAGAAATTATTTTAAAATTTTTATACGATATTTTTATTAAAAAAATGATAAATAATATCTAATACGTTAAAGAAACATTGAATTATCATAATATTTGTAATACGCCAGCTAGCGTGAAAAATTTCTCATTTCCTTTCGTTTTTTAAATTTTGATATTGAAGCCATGCTTGCCCCACGTTAATTTTTGAAATAAATGTAAAGGAGGTATATAGTTATATTATTTAATAAAAAGAAACCATGGAAATTTTAGTCTATATAATATCAAAAAACTAAAATCTAAAAAATTAGGCATATAGTAGTGATTATGAAAAACATAGATAATAAATTATATGAATTAATATCCTACCCAGATTAAAATATTTTGCTTGCAAAACAAGAATAATTAAAAAAACACAAATAAATTATTAACATTTTGTAATTTTTTTCATAATTAATATAAAAAGTAAAAACTTATAATTTGTTTTAATTTATACGTATTATAGCGTCACTCCCTCTATAATTATAAATATTAAGGAGCTACGCAAGATATTCCTCATTTTTTCAAACTGGATATTAAGTAAAAGGCCGCGCCTATGTACGCACAAAACCTGATATTCTCATTTACCCACGTCTATAGGATGAGATATAAAAGAGAAAACCAATACCCGAGAATTGCACATATATTTAATTACTTTTATGGGGCAGGTGAAGAATGATTTTAATTTTAAATTATGTTAAATAAGTAAATTATGTTGGTGTTGATTAGATGTTAGTGTTATCGATAAATTAAAAAACTTGTCATGTTAAAGGTATCTAAAACTTATATTTAATTTTTGTCCATCGGATCTCATTCATTTATTTCAACGAAAAATCGAACACATATGATTTAAGAGTGCAGAATTACCTTATAAACTATGAGTCTATTGATGAAATATGCAGCAAGTGATATTGATTACTAACTGCAAATATTTTACCTGCCAGCCTATTTATTGAGGAAATTATTATGAGTCTTTAAAAATCATTTATTTCATTTGATTTTACATTTATTCGTAAATTTAAATATCTTTTCTAAACAAATTTATAATTAGGTTTGTAACATTAATCATTATAATTATATATTATGTATAAATTTTTGGATTCTTCCTCACCTGGAGAAATATTCAATTCTTTAATATTTTTCACCCATTATATTAATAGTACACATCAAATCTTAATATCAATAAAAATAATTTCTATACTAATTATTCTCAAGATTCATAATAGATACATATTTATATTCTTCATCCATTGTATAAAATAGTTCATTGCCATTAAATTCTACTTGATTACTAAAAAAATGGTTTTCGGAGTCGAGGATAATATTGTCATGACTAAATTATGGCTCAGCAAATCTTTATATAACAGGCTAATATTAATACAACCCCTTAATTTATCAATTTGCCCGGTATACCAATTTAAGCGGAACGCTTCTCTAAATACTATAATCATTCATAATTAATTATACAATAAATAGGCCGAGAAAAAAAAGCAATATTTAGAATAAAATTCAAAGTTAATGAATTACTAGAACTTATAATGGATTTACTATTAAAAATATTGAGGATAACTTGCCACCTCATCTTGAAATAATGATTCTGGAATTTCAAAAAGTGATGAATTCATGTGGAGCAGGAAAAGAGTTGGAAAGGTTCCCTATATAGACCAAGCTCTTCGAATTTTATTAGTATTAATATTATCCAAAAAGATAAGTGTATTATTACAAAATTTCTTCTTTTTAAAAAAAACAAAATTTAATTTACATGTTGTTTCATACTATAGTTGAACACTTTTGTATAAGTTGCCATCACTTAACTCCCTTCTTCAAATCAAACATTTTTATATACTTGGGATTTTTACAGTCATGAAATTGAATGCTTATCTGGGTGATTTGTAATTCATATTGCCTTTAATTTGCTTATAATAATAGACAATGCATCTATTCATCGCGCTTTGTAATTAATGTAATTAAAAATAATTTCTTCTACGGTATTCTTCCCAACTTAACCCCATTGAAAACTTCTTTGGTTTTTATGAAGAATCAATATCTATCTATTTATCCTAGGCCAATGAACAGATTACAGGTAATTGGCATTGGCACTGCGCCTTTTGCTTAATTTTCTTAATTATAATTTTACAGTCTTCTCAAATACAATACAAAAATTTGAAAGGGGAATTTGATCTGTTTCTTTGAATGACTAAATAACTAAATGGTTATATATTAATATATTTTTCATAAAGATTAACAAGTTCATTTTTGAAACTACAATATAAAAATAAGAATTGTACAAGGATTAGAATATACCTTAGTTTCTCCCAAAAATAAAATAATTATATATTTTTTTAACTAGTTCAAAAAGCTATGCACTTTTTAGATATAAAACCTATTTTATAAAAATTATCGTTCACGATAAAATAAATTTTAAAGATAAAAATATAAGATATTGGAAATAGTTAAATTGGTTTAAAGTTGATTTTTTTTTGCAAACTTTATCTGGAGGGAAGAATCATTTACAAAAAAAAAATCACAATCAGAGGTCTGCAAACACCAAAATTTTCAAACGCGGCCCGATTTAAAAAAATGAATATATTTGAGCAATAATTTGGAATTAATTTTTTTATCAGAAATGAGAAATTGAAATCATCATTAAATTTGCATTTTAATGATGTGTATTAGTGATCTGCATCGGGCCTAATTCCCTAAACCTGACCAGGCCCGAATTTATTTAAATATAGAAAAAATTAATTTATTGAAAAGAAATATTCTACAAATAAAAAATATTAACTCCTTGTTTTTCTTGCAAGAATTTTAAAATATATCAATTTATTTGACAAAATGTAATATCATATTTAAAATTTAAGCTCGACACGGTGCAGCCTGTCATTTTTTAAAAAAATTAGGCCCGAGTCATCCCGAACCGAAATTATTTTTTCAAAATAGACTCACCAGGTCCTAAACACGTTCAGGCCGGATTCAAGACGGTTACAGGCCAGATCGTGATTTGCAGATATCTAATGTGTATATCGATATATTATATTTAGTTTTGGAAATAAGTTGATAAAACATTTCTTATTTAAAAAAATATATATTTAAGCAACTCTTCATTAAAATGCAAATTGAATGGTGATTTCAAATATATAAATATTTCTCATTTCTGAAGAGAAAAATAAAAGTTTTAGGTTGTTTAATACACAAGCAGGCATAAATTCTTTGATCTTTATTTTTTATAAGAGGTAGTTATAAATTAATTTAATTCCTCTTATAAATAAAAAATAATAATAAATAAAAGTTTTATACTAGGATGTTTAAAAACACAAACTCGCATAAATCCTTTGATCTTTGTTTTTATGCGAGGTGGTGCACTATGGAAGTCCTTATCACAATCAGATGTCTACAAATGTCAAAATTTTTAGGCCAGGCCCGGTGGGATGCTCGACCCCTCCAAATTTTCCCCTCTCGGCTTATTTTTATTTTTTACTAAGATTTCCCGGCCCGGTTCGGGTTTTGATTTTTTTTCAAACACAAGGCCTAAACCAAAATATATGTTGTTGAACACCAAAATAAACAAATATTTATAATCTTGGGGAGTGGTTAAATTAAAAACACTATACTTTAGGGATTATCACTCAAAATTTATCAAAAGAAAATAATGCCCAACCCGACTCGTTTGATTTTTTTTTATTAAAAATCATAATATTTAGTATATCACAAAATGAAGGCCAATTAGATGAAAATAGGTCATTAAATTATTTTCTTTCTCGAATAATTTTTTCGTCAAACACACACATCTGGACTGGACAATTCCCAAATGTAAAATCTTGGAAATTTTTTTGATAATTTCAGATACTTTTTCTAAGGAATCATTTGTAATAAAATATTTTTTAAAAAAGGAGAGTAAATATAATTTTTAGATAACCATGGAAAATGGTGTCTGGTTACCCTATTATAAATATAACATTTAAGTTATACATTTTGGGCTGTTAGAGATCACTTGATCGGTACTAAAAAATATTTTAAATATGATTAAGGCCTTAAATTGGTTAAGGGTTTTGCTCTCAAGGCAAAATCTCATGCAAATTAGAGGGAAGAAAATATCGGCATGATTATATTTATTTGATTGATAAAAATTTGATTTTACATTTAAAAACATTAATTTGTTTATAAACATAGATAATCTCCATCTAGCGAGTAGAATAGAAAACGAATATATAGCAGCAAGCTGTAGTGGCAAACCGGAAGATGAAATAATTGTTATAAAATCTCCGTTCATCAAAAGTACACTACCCACATGTAAAATGAAACTGCTGTTACGTTTTCAAGGTTCCCGTATAAACTTTAAAGTTATTATCAAAGAGGATTCTTCTTTTGTCGTGTGGAATAGTAACAGACTCACTAACGTTGCTTCTAATTCTGAAGGGTATATACTATAAAAAAATATCTTACATTCAGCGCCATTTTCTAGACCCTCCCTCCCTACGCCAATGTTGCAATGGCTTCGTTAGATTTTTAGCCTAAGGGCTTATTTTAATTTTCAAGATTATTAAAAATAAAAGATGATTTTAAGGAAATTTTTTATCTAATATTATTTTTAAAAAGAAGTAATTTTAACAATAAAATTTGCCCAATTTATTTTTTAAAATTTTCAGAGGACTTAAGACCTTGTTCCTCCCCCTCCTTTCCCCAATGATGCTACCACAGTGATGAGCCTTCCACCGATGAAAATAAAACATGATTTGACTATAAAATGGAAACTGATAGTATATGTTGACTAAGAAGATACTACCCCCTTGCCTGAGTTAACTACCCCACCCACCCCCCTCCTTTAAGTATTTATAGATATATGTTTATAATGTAATAAATATGGTTATGGTGAATTCCACCGCGTCGATTCATTTTTTTCGCGATTTATCTATGAAATAATATAAGCCAGTGTCATCATTATTCATTTAGGAAGCTTTGATTAACTGGTAAGAGATAAGTTGATTTAATTTTTTGCCTTAAATTTTGATTTAAATTTATGAAAACGACGATTTTTTGTTGTCGTTGGAGTGCTTTGGAAATAATAGTGAAAATTAGAAGTATGCACGAGACGTTGTCGTCTTCCTTGCCAATAAAAAAAACCAGCGCGATCTCGCATAACTCCTCATTCATAGTTAGCGCGAATTCGCGGCGAATTAAACAAAATACGTTGTAATTTTTTATTTTACGCAGCGAATTCGTGCTAACTGTGAATGAGGGGGTAATTCATGTGCCTTCTCATCGAGTCGGGTCGGGTTTAGACCAAAATGTTAAATGAATGAGCTAATTAAATGATCTAATATTTTTTAGATGGAGCGAAGCCTTAGTTAACATTAGAGATAGAAGATTTATGAACATAATAATTCAAGTGTCTTGTGAAAAAACGGCAAACGTATATACTGATAAGATGCGCTCAAATCATTATTTTGAGGATCAAAATTGGAATCATTCAACAATTCTCTTTAAATTGATTGAACTTCAAGATTGTGTGCAAGATTTAACGCAATATGGTTTACATTTGAATTAATTAAATTAATAAAATATTTTGTTAAAGATAATTAGTCGGTTAATAGGATTCTGACTCCATCTCTAGTTGAGATTGAGGTCCTCCCTTCGATTCAATTTAAAATTTGAAAAAAACTTTAAAAAAACAATTATTGAATATATGTTCTTTATATCTTCAAAGTCCGGATAGCATGGCTATTTATAAGAATTTCTCTCGAACTAATTTAAATGGTTTAGAACCCCTAAAAAAGGAAAAAAGTTTAATTTTATCATAAAATTAAGTTTTTTTTTGGCGAAAATCATTTAAATCTATTTTTATTTTAATAATATCTTTATAGTCGATTTCGAGGCAGAGCATTCTGATGCCACTTCATTAACCTCCGATTCCTTCAATGTTTTTGGCAGCCCAGAAAGATTTATTTTCACATATAATGGCCATTTATTACACCCAGATGCTGCTAGGGCATTAGCCAAACAAACGCAAGATGTTTGCGCTTCTCTCAATTCCACAACGTTAATTAATAAATCGCAATTGAATTGTAATTTTGAAATAATGGAGGAGTCAACAAAAAATAGGAGTCGTCGTCCTAATGAATGGAAGGATCCAAATATCTTGGCCCAATGTGTATCGACAGACAAATTGTGTGATTTACACAATGATTGCCCAAATGGATTGGATGAATCGGATGAATCAAATATTTGTGGTATGATTTTGTAATTTGTACTGTGAAAGTCAACCGTCTAGTTCTATCGGCTTATATATTAAAACCGGTCCGCCACATGGGTTAGTCCAAAACCAGGCTTTATATTTTTGTCCGGTTTATAAAAACTAGATTGGGACTTTTACTTTTTTTATAAATACAATTTTTTAGAAGTAGATAGCATTTTTATCATAGTTTAGTAAATTACAAACTTTCTTATCTTGTTGGATGAATGCTGCCATTCTATTTGATTAAATGAATACATTCTAAAATTGTATTTATCAATTGAATAATGAATGATTACCCACTTCTATCTAGTTTTCGATTATTTTTAAAACAAAATGCATTCGATAGGTTCAATGCCATTCGGCTCTAAGTGCAATTTTGAGGATGGATGGTGCGGGTGGATAAATGAAGAGTTGGAAGATAAGATGCAATGGCAAAGACGAAACGGGCCATTTTATGATGAAGCCACAGGCCCTAAATTCGATCACACTTATGAAAACGCTCAAGGTTATGTTTGAAATAGAATTACCTCATTTATATTAATATAGAAGTTAAAATATTCATTTCGTACTGGTAGAAGTCTTTTTACTCGAAACGAAAATATTTTTTGAGGTATAGTTAAATTAGGCGTAAGACAGAGCACGCTTTTGCCATTTACATACACCATTTAGATTTTATTTATTGCAGTTCCAAAATATTCATTTTGTTTACAAATATAAGTTCTAAATATATTTTATTTTGCATATTATATAAATAATGACAATAGGACATTATCTTTATGTTACAAGCTCCGGTGTAAAAAGGTACAGGCTTGGCGATTCCGCAATTTTAAAGAGTAAAATTTTCGAGCCGTTTAAATCTGTAAATAGAGAAATGCTCGATGATGTCACCTTTTTAAGTGAATTCAAGAACAATTGCAAGGTAATATTTCTCTTATTAGTTTTTATAATTTCACTCTTACAAAAAGTCCTTAATATTTATGATAAACATGATTTTAAAGAATAATAAGTTTATAAAATTGACAACAATTAGATACGATTCTGGTATCACATGTTTGGTCCCCACACGGGCGCCCTTGAACTAATAATACATTCCACGCCCTATAAAATTAATACGCGGATAAAAACGGCTAGAGATGATATAATAATGGGTTCGAATGAACAGATCATTATCGAAAGATTGTGGAGAATCTTCGGCAAGGATGACGAAGAGTGGAAAAGGGTTGAATTGCCATTGTTTATTTCATCTATACCTAAGAGGTATATAATAATATAATATAATCTCATAATTACTTTTAAAAATTTATTAGTTTTTACTTAGAATTCAAGGCGAAAAGGGGACTTTTAAATAAAGGAGATGTTGCCATTGATGATATTAGTTTGAGTCGAGACTGTTTTGTTTCTACTACAAGTACTATGTTGTATATTTTATAAATACTTTAAACGTGTAATCCTTATATACCATATACATAAAATCTTGATGGGTGATTCAAAATCAATATCCTTTCAATCTCTTCTCCACCCTTTTCAATTTTGATCAAAACGTTAATATTTATGTAACTTCATTTTTAAAAATAGTATTCATAAATTTTTCTATTAAATTTTATTTTTATAAAAAACATCTAAAACATACATTCATTCATGATTATTGCCCTAAAGGTTATTTTTTAAATTGTAGTTTAATTGCTAAATTTTTCCTAATTATGTTGGGTTTTTTTTAATTGTTCAAGTCGTTAATTGATTTTGATTTGAACTTCGATGAGAGTTATTACATATATTAGAAATTTTAAAATGAGAGATTTTTTTTAAAAAAAAATTATAATTGTTTTTTTTAGTTACGAAAAGCAATGATACAAATATTGACAATGACAAAATGTCTATCAAGTTACACGATTCGTTTAAAGGTTAAAAATTAATATTAATTTTTATTGTAAAATGTATATAATTATAATATAAATTAAATTTGTTCGGAAATTTAGAAATTCTCTCAAATATTCAGATGATCGAGGGTAATTCCACATTCACCCCAATAAGTAAATTTTTTATCCCTGATATATTTCTTAATTTTTTTTTAAGGCAGGTTGTTCGACAATTGCGGTAAAGTTGGGCGATTTGGCCCTAAAATTTCGCAATGCTTTTACAAACCTCCGAATTATGAGATGATTGACAATAAGCTGTTAGAGACCTCATATTCTGGAGTTCAGATATGGATAGTTCCACGCGACGGATATTACAAGTGATTATTTGCAGTAGTAGGATTAAAACCCCCGTTTTTTTAAATATGTTTTTTTTCATTTTTTTTTATATTACAGACTACATGGAAAGTAATAAATGTATTTTATTGCTAGTTTGTCTTTATTTCACAATCATATTGAATTCTTGTTAATGTTTTATTATCACAATCATTAGATTTCGCTCATTTTGTGAGTTTATTTTAAAAAATAAAATAATTTTTATGCATGTTATTTTTTTAAATTTATTTCTTCTCTTTTCCCTTGTTTTTTGTGTTAGGAAAAACAGTTTTATTTTTTTTTATTAAATTTTAATATTTCAAAAATTCTATTTTTTTAGCTTTAACGTTTCTGGCGCAAGGGGAGGCAAAGGCGCTTTGAATTTGCATGGTTATGGTAAAGGATCATTAGTATCAGGAACTTTGAAGCTACTTAAAGGCGAAATCCTCTTCATTTTGGTTGGGCAGATGGGGCAAGACGCTTGCCATCTATCCACTAATGTAAGTTTTTCACTAATAGAAAATTCAATGTCAAACAAGCATAAGCAAACATTTTCAAATAATAAAATGCGAGATTTTTTTTTCAATATTTTTTTAACGTTTGACTGTTAAAAATTTCTTAAAAAATCGTAATAATTTATTTAAAATAAAATTTTGATTAAATTTTAAAATGATTCGATTTTTATATTATAGATGTGTCAGCCGTATATAATATCGAATGCGCAATTTAGAATAATTTGAAGATTGCCATAAATTTTAATATTTTTTAAGGTTATTTAGAGGTTGTAATAGATAGGCGCCGACTCATGGTAGTGATGGTCACGGTCCGGTCTTTGGTTCAGATCGCACCAATTCTCTCGGATCGGACCAAACCGGACTATTGTCTTTAAAAAGATCGATCCGCACAATGATCCTAAATAAAAATACCGGTCTGTCTTTTAATTATTTAGTTATTTAAAAATATTTTAGTCTTTACCTAATTTTATGGCTTTCATATTGCAAAAAGAAATTACCTAAAAATTCACAAAAACTAAAATAACTCTTCTGAGAAATAACATAAAATAAAATATACAAAAAAATTAAGTAAAAAAAATTATATTAATTGAATAGTAAAGTAAACTTAAATATTAATAAGACCGGTCAATATCCGTTAATCGGTCAAGTACCGGTCTCGGTCTAAGACCTACAGGTCTGACTGTAATAATGACACCGGGGCTCGAGCCCATACATAATATTGACTCATTAATATTTTAAACATCAAATTTTCTTTAAAAAATTTAAAGCCCTCATAGAAATTTTTATAAGTCGCCGCCTTCTTTTATAATATCTCAAGCAATATTCATTCTTATTATAAAATTAACCACTATATTATTCAAGTTCAACCAATTGTTAAAATCATATTTTTTTTCTTGGTAAACAGAACACACTAAAATACAGATATGCCAAGATTTGTGAACATAAGTCACCCTCACTCGAAGCAACTTTACTGGATTACTACGAAAGAAGAAAATTGAGCGGTGGTGGGGGAGGCGGGGGAGGCGCTTCATATATATTCAAAGTATGTATTTGATATAATGTTTACAATAATACAAGGAGAGGGATTTGTCGGTTTGTATGAAATCTTTCTTCTTTTTTAAAATCAATCAACTTATAACATAATGTTATTTTATTTTATTATATAATTCAGATTATTTTATTTAATATTTTTAAAATTCGATCATATTGCAATTAAGCTTGATAATCAAACAATTCCTATACCATTGCTGGTTGCTGGTGGGGGAGGTGGGGCATCATCGAAAGCTTGGGGCACCCAGAACAACCAACTAAACCCCGATGGACACATTTTTCAGTCATTTAACAATACAACAAAAACACATACCTCCTATCCACATGGGAAAGGATACATCAATTCAAAGGGAGCCGGTATACTGATAGATTATTAAAACAATTATAAATATACTTATACAGGAGCTGGGGGAGGGTGGGAAGATTCAGTGGAACTGATGTTGCCTAATTCGTACTCGATGACTGGATCCAATTTGTTAATCGAAGGAGGAAAAGGTGGTATTGGTCAAGCCTGCGGAATTTTAAATAGTTTAGGCACCAAAATTTTGGAATATGATACATGGCCTGTAGATGGTGGATTTGGAGGTGGAGGCGCTTCTTGTAATTCAGGAGGTGGAGGGGGTGGATATAAAGGTTTATTTTCTCTTTATTATTTATTTCTTAATTTTTACTTGGCCTTTCTCTATTACGATGTTATACAGGTTAGATGGAAAAGATTTCCATATTTTTTTAATTTTTTTAAATAATATTATTTAAACTTGCAATTCCAATATGATAATTATTTTATTAAAATAATTTTATTATTAACAAATATGCGGGAGGGGGGATCACTATTAAGTGAGCTTTTACTTATTATTCCTTTAAATTGTTTATAGTGTTTATATTTGGGTGGGGGAGGGGGCGAATAGAGGGGGCCCTTTCTTATAACTGTATGGTATACATATAATGTGCATAATTGTTTAAAATTATACTTAAGAATCATTTGAACAGCAGAGATTGATTAACGACGGGGTGGGAAGGGGATGTTTTAACTATCCTTAAAAAAATAATATTGAAAGAAATAAAATGATACACAACAGCACGAAAATTAGTATTCCTTAATAAAAATTATATTAATCATTTAGAAATCTTGTACATTTAATATTTTCCTTAGAATAGGCAAAAAAAATTAAGCAAGTTATTTGTTCTAAAACAGGTCTTTGTAAACCAGTCCTGGCCACTAAACGTTTGAATATACCTCCTACTCCACCACAAGCCAATTTGCCATGAGATGTGGCCCAGAAATGCTACTCACTTGTCGTAATTACCTTTTATGCCACATCGTGGGATCGGATGTGGGCACAATATATACACCTTTCATCATATCTTTTATCATAAAATATATATAAATTGATAGAATCTCTTCAAGAACTTTATTGTTTCCTTTAGGCGTGGATGGAATCATAGCTATAAAAATATAATTGAAGATCCACAGTACGGAAAAGTCAATTTCTTATTGCAGCATTAAACTTTATAAGAGCTTTCGACTCAATTATACATATAAGTTTGTTGTCTTTAAAGGAGACAGGGTCCATGAGAATTTGCTAAACCTCCATACAAATATTTTCCAAAACTATTCAGTCCAAATTTTACATGCGGGACTAAAACCTTTTAAAATCCCTGTTAGAATTGGGTTGAAACAAAGGTGTATTTTTATTATGAAAGATGTAATGCCCGCATCCAATTCCGCCGTGTGGGATAAAGCTTTATTGAGCTTAAAGTATATAATATTGATTTCATTTCAAGATAAAATTTAGAATAATGTTATGTCAAATCAATCATTATTAAGCTCTTTTTAAATTATTTTAAATTCTGGAATTATTTGGATAAGAAAGCCGTTTATTTTAGTTGGCTAACACACCTAGTTCCCGATATAGTGCCTCAAATGTGCGACAAATAGCGATTTTCGAATCTGTTAAACTTTTAAAATGCTTACTTCTCAAGAACTATTTATAGTAAAAATAAATTTAAAATATGTTGTAGCTAAAAAATCTCTAAAGGTCTAACGAAGGTAAAAGATTTGGCGCCAATTTGAGTCTTTAACTCTCGGTTTACGTTTACGGCTTTACTCTGGTTTTTAACTAATATGGAGAGTTCGTTTTTGAAATTTTTTCACCTTTTATTTAGACCCTTTATAAATATCTGAGACCTTCGGTACCGTTTGCACGGCCCAGCCCGGATTGTTTTTTAAAAAAAATTTCGGCTGGGCTCGAGTTTTTTAAAAATATATTATATTTATTTAATTTTTATAGCTAATAATGGCGATTTAATATTTTAAAATATACATCTCGGCCCGACCCGGGTATTTTTTTCAGAACCGGGCTTGCAGATATTTGATAAATATATATGATATAAAAACCTTGGCGACTATCGACTCCTCCAAAATATGTAATTTTACCAAAAATTGGAAATTTTATTTGCATAAAATAGATGGCGCCATACGAATTAGTAACAGGATATTCTTTTTTTTTTATACTAAAATATTTCTAATTTCTATTAAATATGCCAATTAAACTGAGGAATAGTGGCGGCAAAAGGTATATAATATAAAACCTTGAAACCTGTCATCTTCTTGCATTATTATGATTTACCTTTATAATGTAATTTTGTTAAAATTCATTTAAGGAGGTGATGTTTCAACCGTCGATTCCATGTACAATAACGGCGGAGGAGGGTCGTCTTATATTTCACCACTGTTCAAAAATGATTTTAGCATGAGCGGATTTAATGACGGTCAAGGGAGAATATCTATTAAAGCTACTATCAAAAACTGTCCTTGTAGTTTTCAATGCAATATTATTGACCCGTTTACGAATTACTTTGAATGTTTATGTCCGAAAGGCATGATTCTCGGTAAAGATGGCATCAACTGTAAAGGTACATTTAATTTTTTTTAATATAAACATAAAATATTAATATAGTAATAGATTGGCCCATCAATTCGAAAAAAACAGTTTTCATTATGCTTATCATTGGATCTATAGCTCTGCTATTCATTGGACTTTTAGTTTTAGGTAAATCAATATTTTCATCAGAACATAAAACATAATGATTATAAATCGTTTATTATACATTGATCAATTAGCATATAAGCAATTTATTCGTCACAAAATTCTGAAAAATTCAACAAATTTACAAATACGCAAACAATCTTCCAATCTCCCTTCCTCTTGTACCGACACCGACGAGATGACCTCCGACGCCATTTTGGATTTGGAAAAAGGGAATAAGGCATTCTGGGATGCCTTGAATCACGAATTTCAATTGGATTGGCTCAGAACCCTATCCAACAAGATTCCCGAACCTCTATTCATTAAAAAGATAATCAACCTTAAAAAACGGATCATAGAACAAAAACTTGGCAAATGTCAAAACCCGAACGACATTACCACATTTTTTGATCCACATATGTTAAAGATGTCAGAATTTAATATGAATTACGGTGACCCAAATATGTCGAAAACGTCAATCAAGGATTCTTTATTGAATAGTAAAATAATAAAAATATATATATGACTTATTTTCAATTAAATTCCAATTTCAGAGGATACTACCGAATCTCAAAATAGCTACAAATACCCTGGAGTTGATTACAACAAGCTTTACGAACAATATGAGTATAATATTATGGAAATTCCAAGGAATAAATTGGTGTTAGTTAAAGCCTTAGGTGAAGGGGCATTTGGAGAAGTTTTCAAAGGAACATTAATGTATCCTAAGGATGCTAAATTAAGTGCCCGAAATAGCAAAAATGTGTATGATGCCTCTAACTGCGCGGAAATCGATTACGAACAAATTAACGTGGCCATTAAGGTAACCAACCAATTGAATTCACATAAAAACCTTGACTCATATTTTTTTATATAATAATTTCGATGTTTAGACGTTGCCCGAAAATAGCAAAAACAATTCAGAAGTCGATTTTTTAATGGAAGCTTTAATCATGAGGTATTTTTTTTTAAAAAAAATAGTTTGGATTTAAATTATTTTATTTCAGTAAATTTCACCATCCAAATATTGTGAAGATGTATGGGGCCTGCTTAAAAAACCATCCTAAGTTTATTGTTCTAGAATACTTGGCTGGAGGTGACCTTAAAAATTTTCTTAGAGAAATTAGAATGCAAGACTGTCCAGTAAGTTTATTATTAAAAATATCACTAAATTGTATTTTTTCAGAAAATTAATATCTAAATATTAAATGGTGTTGCTAAGAGAATATCTTCTTTCTCTCAGCACACTTGCCAATCACTAAGGCCGTGTCCTAGGTCGTCTCATTAATAAATATCCAAAAAACAAAAGAATTTTTTTTTAAAAAAAAATCAAAAAAAAATGAGAATGAAATGCGAAAAGTAGCAATGCCACCAAATATTAAATTTTTTTTAGCCTATACTAAAAATCATTTAAGTATTTTTTCAATTGATTGTTCCGCTTACTTATTCCTAGAGAACACTTCTTTAAAAAAATACTACACACTTTTTCTAAAAGTTTTATTTTTAATAAAAAAAAATGAAAAATAATTATAATTTAGGCAAATTTAAGCCCTTTTATCCGGTAAAATAAATAAACAATAATAATCAAAATAATATTGATATATAATTCTTCAAAATAAATAAAACAGGACTCATCATGATAATTTATTCAAAAGTCAAATTCATGCCCCATTGTTAAAAATCCAAATTATTCCATGTAAAAAGAAACCTTACGACAAGTATCAGAATTAAGTCACCCCAGGACACGGCTTAACTTCTAAAGATTTTTCTTATTTTTTTTATTATATTTTAAAAAAACATAATTAATAAAATAAGGAACAAAAATTTATAACGCTCAAGGAATTGTTGTTACTTTCTTTGCATGTAGCAAAGGGTTGTCTATATTTGGAAAAAAATCATTTTGTGCACAGAGATATAGCCGCAAGAAATTGCTTGCTTACATGTAAAGGTGAGAATGGTCGTATTGCAAAAATCGCTGATTTTGGAATGTCAAGAGATGTTTATAGGTATATAAAAAATGGAAATTGATAAAATATTATTTTTTTTAAAAGCCTTTAAAAAAATACTTAATAACACACCAAAAAAATACTTAATATCATACCCTTTTTTAAAAAATTAATAAATCTTTACCAATTCTTGGCCGCTTCAGGCCCTTAGGGCGTTCCTCTCATTTTAGACGAACTCGTTTTACCATATTTAAAGCACTTATATAAAAATCTAGAATTGAAGAGGCCTCGGCACAGGGCCAATCTTGAAATGTTATTTTTTTAAACGATCAATTGGTTAAACTAAAAGAGGATTGTTTATCAAAAAAAAATTTTTTGCAAAAAAATACAACAAATGAGGCTGTGTCTTAAATTTGTCTTTTTTCTTTATTCAAAAATCTGTTCTGAATAGGGAATTTTAGATTTAAAAAACAAATAGAAATAAGTACATCCTTAAGTTATTCATTTAAATAAAAAATTGGTGTTTAGGTTGTTATTCAGAATTCAAAATTAAAAACAAAATTTAAATGTAATAAATTATTTGAAGCAAATTTCTTATTAGGCTTTGTCTTCGCAGGCAATTAAAAAAAGCGCGAATACGCGATTTTTATTCGTGAGATTTATTTTCGCTTAAAATAGTGTCTATTTTTCGCTTAAAATATTTAGTAAAATAGATTTTTTAAATATTAAGAAAATAAGGAAAATTATTATGGAAAGGGATATCAATAAAATTTTGAAATATTCCAATTAATACACAGAAAGAATCATTGTTACTAATTTTATTAAAGAAATTAGAACAAATATATATGACTTATTTTAATAATGATCATGCTTGTTACAAATCCTTATATGAATTGTAATCAAATTGTCGAAGGCTCGTGGAAGAGACTTGAATTTAATTGAACCAAGTTTTAATAAAAAAGAATATATATAAAAATTAAATAATTCGGTAAAGTCTTAAGAAACCAAATCTCGAAATTTATACCACAAAAGTAAGTTTCTTGAATTATAAAACCATACACGGTCTTTTATTTTAAAATTTTTTCATTTATATACATTTTTTTAATATGCAAAACAAATTACAATTATATTAAAAATTCATAAAAATAATAAAAATTACAAGTATTCATAAAAATAATTAAAATTACAAGTCTATTCAAGTTCATAAAAAAAAAATTCCTAGACTGCATATTCAAATTAATATTTAACAATCGTCGATCATATATTCACAAACTAACAAATTATATAAAAATATAATTTATATTCAAATTAATACTTAACAATCGTCTATCACATATTCACAAAGCGAATATAACAATGTTATATAAATATTTGCACTAATGTTATATAATATTTATTTGACAATGATATAATAAAATAAACAAAAATGTTATATTGATTGATCATTATTTTGAAATTATAATAAAACATTTACATTTTCTATAATTAACCAAACATAATTATAATAAAACATTAGGATTTTTAATAATCATAATCCATATATATTTTTTAATATTTTATTTCTGTAAATTATCCATTGAAGAGAAATCGCGTTTAAAGCCTTTAATAAAATTAACCATTTCGTCCTCCTCTTAATCATTTTCAATTTATCCTGTTAATTCTAAAAAAAATTATGTTTTCTTTGCTCAGGAATTTTAGTGGGATTAACCTAAAATAAAAAATTTTTTTTAATGAAATTTATTACATTCTCTTTGTCATTGTTTGCACTATTTTCTTCACTTAAAACATATTGATAATGACTACAATTAGATTGCAATAAATTCTGAATTAATTGAAACAAGTTTATATTGTGCAATTAATTACCTCTTCTTCTAAGGAAGCATCTACACCATTGCATAATGGAGTAATCATCATTGTTTCAAGGAAAGAGTGCTTCAAAATGAATTCACTTTCTTCTAAATCCAGAGTCTGAAGCTCTCTTTTTTCTTTTCCTCACATTTTAAGCGTTTATATCTTAATTTAGCCTCTAATTCTAATAATTGTAATCAGTATCTAATTGTAATATAACCTAACCTGACATATTATGCTTTATATCTATTTCTTGAAACTCTTTTCCCCTTTTAAATTTATTTTTATGCTTATCACTACTTTATAAGCTAGAATATCTTCAATATCAAATGTATCTAAAATTAAATATATTAGGAATAAAAGAATAAATAGTAATAAATAATTTTTTAAAACTAAAAATGCTGCTTAAAATTACGAATTTGCAAAAATGCAACAAATGAAGCGAAAATTATATGCGATATGCGAATTTTTAATTGCCTACGAAGACATAGTCTTAAATACAAAAAACAACAATTTTATCTTTGTCTAACAAAAAAAATTATTATTCAAAATAAATATTTTAAAAAAATTTGAATTTAGCAAATATCATAAATTAAATTTTAAAATCATTTTTTAATACACTATATTCTATGGATCATATATTTTATACCAATATATTCATTCAGTAAAACTCATTAAATTTAACTTACATTTTATTTTATTTTTAGAGCCGATTATTATAGAAAAAGTGGTAAAACTATGTTACCAGTAAAATGGATGCCACCGGAAGCTTATTTAGATGGACTTTTTTCGACTAAGAGTGATGTATGGGCGTTTGGAATATTATTATGGGAAATATTTACCCTAGGTTACATGCCCTACCCTGGGATCGGTAATCAAGAAGTTATGGTTATAGTGGCTAAAGGAAATAGATTAAATTTTCCGTCCTGCTGTCCTCTCAAAATGTAATTTTAACAAATTTTTATTGCTTTATATATTAATTTACCTTATATTTGTAGCCGAGAAATAATGATGCAATGTTGGTTAAAAGATCCTGCATGCCGTCCAAACTTTCAAGCAATTATCGATTCTATAGAAAGTTGTATTGAAGTAAAAAAAAATAAAAAAAAATAGTCTCGGTTAAGAATTAGTATTCCATGCCATTTTTTTAGTGAAACCTCCCCCCCCCCCACCCCCCATAATATATTTCCACTTTCTTTTATTCCATTTTTGTAAAATATAATATCCTTATACTTAACCCTTTCATTCACGCTAGGAATAAACTCACCATATTTTGTATAATAGTACAAAATTTACCAACCTTTAAAAATTTATTTTATTTTTACATTATACTTTAAACATTATTTTTATAAAATAAATAAATTATGTTTATTCAATACTTTAAAAAAAAATTAGTTAAAATTCGCCATATTGAGATTTTTATTCACATTTTTTTCCAGATTTTTCGCAAACAGATTATAAAAAAATCCACTTTCTTATTATAATATTTTGTACATATATGAAACAACATTTATATATACAACTCTTTTTATATATAATGCATCCATTTTTAATAATTATAATTTTTATAATGGGTTTCAATGAATCCAACTATACAGAATGCCGTCAACTGATGAAAGTGATATTAGTTCCAATTTTATTAATGAATACTCTGCCTCAGAAGATAATATATTCCTTGTAAATTTATTATATAATACTCACACATTTTGCGAAAATAATCCTTGATTAATTCCTACACCATTTATTGACTTTAATAAACCTCTGGGCCGAAAAATATCGGAGTTGCTGAAACTTTATAAAAAATAATTCAATTATTTGTATCTGATTTTTTCTTCAATAATTTTTGACATTTTTAAACTAATTTATATGCAATCCAAAGTATGAAACGGTAAAATAAATTTTTATTTACATTAGTACTTATATAGTTATTATTATATAAATTTAAATCTGCCAATATTTTTTAGCTATAAACATACTAATGGGGATGAAAATACAGCCTAACGGGATTATTGTAGCTTAATACCCGATTTACAAGATCAATATAATAGCCAAACTAATACATATAAATAGGTCAAAATGACGGTCTCTTCATATCCATACAAACGATAAGAATACTTTGGCTCTCCAAAGCGAATATTCTGATCTCTATAAACTTTACAAAATCCGACCTTGTATGACTGAAAACTTTAGAAGGGATGGTATGCTAGCATAAATGATAGTTTATGTGGACAGCTTATCAGCAGAGCCCAGTCATCCAACACTGTCTAATAAAAATTAAGTGTATATGCCAAGAGATGTGCCGCTCACATTTACCTAACCTATAAGATTTTACCTAACCTATAAGATTAGATCAAAGGAGAAGATATTCTAATTCTTCAACAGTTATCGATGAACATCGTTCAGATTAAATATGCTCGGTTTGTGACGTGGTGTTATGTCTCTTAAAGTCGAAATTGTTTTAAACCGTAACACAAAATCATAAATATGTTTATATGAACTAGAGGTATATTGATACCACTTTTTGGAGACCGATCCGATATTCCCGATATTAAATTGATATCGGCCGATTTCCGATATCTTATCTAATTTTGTATTCTGTAAAGATATCAATGGTTTTAATTTTTAATATACTTTTTATTAGTATAACATCTATAATTTTTATACCATACATGTTATTTAAATATATTATAATGTTCAGTTATAGTTTATATTCAATTCAATTGCGATTCTAAAAGTATATAAAATATTTTTACTTAAAAATCACTTATTTATATAATAAGTATAACATTAATTTATTTACATAATAAGTAATAAACAGATATATTATAAAATTTGAAATAAATATCTAAATAAATATTAAAAATTAATATATCGAAGATTTCTTTTTAGAAATACCAAAATTTCCAATTTATCAGAGGTAAGTCTGCGGTGATGGGGACTATATCACTAGCTTCACTAAAAACAGATTCTGAAGTGATTATTAACTTTTATAAACAGAATGCAAAAAAAATAACAATATGGCAGAATGTTTATTAACTAATTATTTCTATTAAAAAAATTAAACATAAAAATGGATTTTAATTTATTTATAAAAAGAAATGGTTCTTAGATATAACTTTTTTTTAAATTTTATATTTTATTGTTGTTAAAAACGCCATTTTGCATCGGATCGGAAAATTTTATAATATTTGCCGATAACCGATATTTCAAAATAGGTAAAATATCGGCCCGATCCGATACAAAATACCGGTACATCCCTAATATGAACAGTGGGATAGCAATTGTCCCACTTTAATATGAAATATTTTTTCACAAATATGTTTATATGATCAGTGGAATAGCAGATGTCCCTCTTTAATTTTTGTAATATCTTATGAAATATTATTTTTTTATTTTTAAAAATAAAATTATATGAGAGTATATATTTATTTTCATTATTAAAAATTTTTCTGTGCATGAAAGGGTTACCCTTTATTAAAACCAATCAGAATATAAAAATCAAAGTCATTATGATGGCTCTTTTAAATAGTTGATTTCCAACTTTGTTCCAATTTTGATATTATTCTATGATAAATATAGAAACAAGATTTAAATATATTTTATGAAAATTGATATCAAAACTATATGTAACTTCCACACGTCCGTGGGCTAGAAAAATGATATACAACCTTTTAAAAAATTTAAACTACACATATTGAAAATTTTTTTTTAGCCCGCCCGTCCATTTTTTAAAATTAATTTGTTGGTATTAATTTAGTCTTTAAATAAAATGTTTTATAAAGTTAAAAATTATTATGGAACACTTGATCTTTCACCATAATATATTTATTATCTAAATCTTTATTTTAATTTTTAGGATCCTCTCACTTTGCTTTTCAAACATCTACCAAGGTCTGGCAAAACGAAACCAAATACTACTGAAGATTTAACGCCAGACGAAAAACTGTTGTTGAATTCTGATTTTAACAATGATGACGATATTTTATTGGAAGACGCATTTAATTCTGAAAGTGAGATTGCTAAAACAAGTAATGACGATCAGATAGAAATAATGAGTTTATCAAACCGAGGGACCAAAATCTCGAAAAATTCACAGTCAACATCTGGCTTAGGTGGCTCTATATCATGGGGATCAAATAACGAAGATGAATATTACAACAATGACACTATTATTAGGAAGATATCTGTGGATTCGTGGTCCAAAAAAAATTATAGGAAAAGAATGTCCGATAGTAGCGACTCTCAAACGTTTTACGAATATTTAGTGCCCCTTAAGGCGGAAGAAACATCGTTGGAAGAAAATACCTTACAAAATTCGGAATGTGTAAGCAACGCTGCTGAGAGTATTCCAGAAGATTTTTGTTCTAATAACCAAAACCATTTTTATGATAATCAATTAACCATAACATCGGTGAACAAGAAGACTGTGCCTCAATTATTTATAAAAAAGTGCAATTCTAACCTTAAGCGCGTAAATAGTTTGCCCTGCAATTATATCCATTTGGTAAACATTAAAAGAGTATACTCGAATGGAAAAAGCTTAACCATCTTGAATAAGAGCTTAAAATCTAACGAAGAAAATTTTACCAGTAATGTGATCGATAAATATGTCGCATATTTTTTAAAAAACCCTATAAAGAATGCCATGTTTAAAGACAAATCAAAGATCATAAATTTCAGCAAAAGTGAAACAAAGCTTAACCAAAGAAGGATAATAAATAAAACTTTGCAAAAAAGTCTATCTTTCAACCAAAATTTCAAAAATTTAATACGAAAAAATATCTTTGGACACTTGGTCGCCGAAACAGTTTGTAAAAACAATTTTGATCATCTATTGATGACCGATAGTGGGATTGAAAATTCTATTTACAAATAGATTATATATGTCTTGTAAATAATTATTTGAATTTAAAATGTAAATATTATTTTTATTAATATAATGAACATAATATATTTTTTTAGTATAAATAAATATATATTTTTTTAAATATTTAATTTTGTAAAAAAATAATGTATTTATAATAATGTAAATAAATCATTTTTTTATAAAAATAAATTTCTAATTACATAAACCTGTACCTTAGATTAGAGGTCTGCAAATGGTAAAAAATTTTAGGTCCGACCCAGCTGGGATTTCGTTTTTGCCCGACACGTCCAAATTTGTACCCGGCTAGGCCGGATTCCCGTATTATTTAAACTAAGAATGTCTGGCCCGGTTTTTTAAATCCAGAAATATATCCTATGGAAATAAGCAAGAATGAAGAGTTTGGTTTCGTGATTTTATTTTTTTGTGAATGGCCAAATATTCAAGAATAATTTTATTTCTATTCTTATTCTCTATTAAACGCGCCTGGCTATCTACCTTTTTCTCGCCCTCCCGTCATATTTTTTTTCAGATGGTCCGGGTACGAGACCGGTGATTATAGATATCTAGTTTAGACTAGTCATCATAACAATTCTAGGAAAGTTTAAAATGATTTTCTTAAACTTATTAGCTAAGATAGATAAGCATGCTTTTGCCCATCACCACGTGATGGTATTGGATAATATGAAATAAAATAAGAATTTTTTTCATAAATATGAATCGTAGCTGATAACCAAGCATTTGAATATAAATATCATTTTATTCAAAAATAAATAAAGCTATCTTTTGCTATAATTTATATAAAACATTCTTAAAATTTATTTTACAAAATATTACAAGGCCCATTTGATATGGTAAATTCCGTTCACATCTAAAAAAAATAATATAAATATTGCAAAATATTTTATAAATAAATATCGATAAAACAAACTTTTAAAAAAAATTAATTTTTTGGGAGTTTTTTAACATTATGCGTTATTTAGCACTTCTTAAATCTTGGAAAATAAAAATGATATTGGAATGATATTATGTTTTGTTTCATAAGATATTAATATTTTCTTTTGGAGATTTAAATTGTTGCGATATTTTAATAATTTATAAAGCTAAAAAGAAATAACATTTAAAATAATAATAATAAAAATCATTAATTGGTCCATATTTTTTTTCTACAAAGAAATATAAAATAAATTATGAATAATAATATTATATACACATAAAATATTGAGGCATGATTTATATCATAGTCAAATAGTTTCTTTACTCTAAATAAATTCCTCATCAATTTATCAAAAAATTTTATGTAAAAAAAAGAAAAGTGGGGTGACTGATTTTCTTATGTTGGTTCCAGGGTTGTCTTTAAAATTATAATAAAACATCGTTTTACAAGAAATTTTGGAAGCTTTTTTCAAAATATAAATAGATCTAAATTCTTCTACATCAATTATTTGCTTTTTTCTTTTAGTTTTTCAAGATTTTAGTGGCGCGCATGTTAGCTTGCTCGATTCTAGATTCATTTGATGTAGCCTGATTAAAAAAATAATAATTTTTACAAAATATTTTAGTAAATATAAATTTTGCAAATTTCAACTGAATTACTAAATCTAAACACATTTTTGATCATTTTGAATAATATATTTTAATAAATATATCATATCTATTTAGTTTAATAATTTAGTACCAATCTTTTTTAAAACTTAATGCTTATGAAGAATTATTTGCATTTATTTATTCAATTCAATTTTTATAATCTGGAGAGAGAGAAAAATAGTACCTTTTGGTTTATTCGGTCGACTTGCCTATTTTGGGATTCGATTTCGTTGCCCATATCTATGGCCATATTTTTGAGATTCCCCACCATGCCACTAACTTGTTCTATATTCTCCTCCATTTCATCCTCCCTGGCGTCGTTAGTTATTCTATTAATAGAATAAATTTTTTTTATATATTTTATTTTGTATAAATTAGAAATCTATTGGGCGGTTATTAGTCCGCCAATTTTAGAGGCGGCGTGGCGGGTTTTCTAAAAATTTTATAAATTAGGCGAGTGGCGAGCAAAGAATTTTAAATATTTTTTCGAGAGAAATGAGTAGAACAAACTTCTATTTATTATAAATCATTTTTTTATTTCATAATATTTGCATATTTTCAAACTTTAATTAAAAATACATTAAAATTAAGAGCCAAACCAGCTATTAATATAATTTTTAAACACTGGGCTGACACAGGTTAAACAAGATTTTTAAATAAATGGGCGGGCGGGTAAATGGAGAGTAAAAAATTTAAAACAAAAGTGGACGGGTGGCTAAAATCCTTCCGCAGATCTCTAGTATAAATATGAAAGGCTGATTTATATTAATATATATATATATATCTTAAATTATAATTATATAAGTAAATTTTAATTTTAAAAAATTATGGTAAAATAGAGATCCAAGCCAGAACGAAGCAAACGGGTATCAAGTTATAAAATAAAATTATGGTCTTGCTTAGATTATAGACAGATAAAAATAACTATCAAGAGGCTAAAGGATGAGTATCGGTTATAATATTGATAAAGTATCCACGCAATTTATAAGGTATAAATGACAATAAAAATATCAATGTCATTTATTTTTCATATTTACAGATGGTGGTTAGAATCAAAGTAGATCAAAATTTTAATTTAAAAAACCTTACAATATTGTTTCTATCATTGATTTTTTTTATAAAAAAAAAGTTTTAAATAACGGATATTTTTAAAAAAAATTTATTGAACTAGAAAACGCTGAATTAATTGTTTTTTAAAAAATATTTTATGATATTGTCAAATTTTACATTAAAAAATGTTAGTTGTACAATTGATTGGCATTACAAATACAAGTGACCTGCAGAGGTCAAAATTTTATGACCAGCCCGAGATTTTTTAATATTTTCAAGCCCAGCCCGGATTTATCCCGATATTTTTAAAATTTATTTGAATAATTTTAATTTTATTTTTCTAAAATTTTCCAAAGGATTAATTTTATGATCAACTTCTTATTTATTTATATTAAATATTTCAATTATAAAAATAATTTAATTAATATGACACGGCAACCAATAATATATATTCACGTACAATATTAATGAATCCAAATTTAAATGGATTTAGGATAAATTATTAATATTGTTAAAAAGTTATTTCTGAAAGATAACTATTATATTATTCCAAAAGTAACTAGTAACATTGATAATTACATTTAAATAATTTATATAACCCATCATTTTTAATATAATTTTTTTTATTCTAAGGAATTTAAATAAAAATATGAATTAATTAAAGAAATAACTGCAATGAAAAACTATACCACATATTTGTATTAAGAAAATATAGAGATAACAAAGAAATAGCCGCAACAGAAAAACCATGCCACATAATTATTTTTATTGAAAAAAGTCATAATATATATTTGTACCAAAAACATATATAAATAACATTTTAATTATATATATTGTGCATCCAAAAAAAAATATATATTTATTTTTCATAAAGATTTAAGCTTATTTTTATTTGGCTTTAACAGTTATTTTCAAAATTTGTGTTTAAAGGGTGTGCTAGTCTTTCTTTAAATTAAGCTCATTCAAAAATAAATACGAATTAAATAAATCTAATTGTCTTCTAAAAATATTATAAAATTTATTCATAAGAAAATATATTAACAGAATATTTTTCAGAGACCTGCAGAGGCGCCATTTGCACGGCCCGGCCCGGTTTTAAATTTTTTAGGCCCGGCCCGGATATTTTTTAAAAAATTTTTTTACGGCCCGGCCCGGATTTAAGGCCCAGCCCGGATAAATTTTAAAAAAAATTTTTACGGCCCGGCCCGGATATTTTTAAAAAAAAAGTTTCAGGCCCGACTCGGAATTTTTTAAAATTATATTCGACCTGGTATATACAAAAATTCACCTATGATATATTTTACCATATTTTTCAGCGAGTATTATCGCTAATTATTTAAAAAATACATGAAAAAAGCAATATTTTGAGAATATTATATTGAATTTATAAAAATTATAAAACTGTTATTTATAAAAATGGATATTTTGAGCATATACTATATTTTTTGCATTTATAAAAATAAAACTAATATTCATAAAAATGGTAATAATATTTTGAGCATATACTATATTTTATATTGCATTTAAAAAAAATAAAACTAATATTTAATTTATAAAAATGGAAAATATTTGGAGAATATAATATATTGTATTTAATTTACTATTTAATTTATAAAATAAAAATAAATCGCTATTTAAAAAAATGCATGTATAATAAATAGTATTTTGAAAATATAATCTAACTGCACAATATTAATATAATTTATTTTATAATTTTTAAATATTTTATATTACATTTATAGGTTGGTTTTTCAGGTGTAAAAATTTTTTATTAATTTTCATGGATTTACCATCACATTTGTGTCTTTTTAGATGTGATGTACCATGTTTATAATTATAAGATAATATACTTGAACAATTCTTACATTGTACGTAGCCAATGTTTTTTTTATTTTCATCTATGATGATGTTAAATTTAGCCCATATTTCAGATTTTAAATTATTATTTGTATTTCTAAAAGAATAAATATTATTTTTAATTTTATTAATTATATCATTAGTATTTTGTGCCATGATATTCCTTTATTTGATTGTTTTGGTAAATATTCTAAAAATTTAGATATGAATTATAAAAAATATATTATTAATACTTGAATATTGGGGCTTATTTAAGATATTCCTTTATTTGATTGTTTTGGTAAAATATGTTGTAAAAATTTAGATATGAATTATAAAAAAATATATTAATACTTTGAATAAATTTGCAGGAAATTAATAATTAGATCGATCTGTGGGTGTTAGGTGTGTTAACCATCACCCAATATTATATTAATCATAACTATAATATAATATAATCTTATAACCATTAACTCATAATGTAAAAATTTTTATAAAAAATATTAAGGCCCGGCCCGAATTTAACAATCTTAGGCCCGGCCCGGATATATTTTAAAAAAATTTTTTTAGGCCCTGCCCGGGTATATTTAAAAAATTTAAAATACGGCCCACGGGTATAGGGCCGGGCCTGCAGGTCTCTGATATTTTTATTGCACAAACAGAATAAATTATTATTAATGATCTGAAAATTAAAATGTATATTAATAAGTTTATTCGTTTAATGCCGAACCAATTTTGAAGTTCTTCGCCAAATCACACTACGTTGTTATGGTAGAGCTAATTACTGGTATGAAAATATAACTTAATAAGTCTTTTGAATAATTCGCGATTTTTAAATTCTGGGTCTTGTTTATTACATCTTTGTTAATATTGGGGAATTCGTGTCTATGCACGAGAAATCCCATATTTAAATTTTTCCTTATATCTTGGAATTCATGAAATTATTATTGACATAAAGAACCACTTAACTTGCGTCAATAATAGAATATAGGAACAAAATGTAAATATAGATATTATGTTAGATAAAAGTTTTTATCCTTAAGAATTATATTTTAGTATTTATAAGTGCTCATAATTTTGTTGTCCTTATCTTGATTGATCAGAATTGGCGTAATTAAATCCCGTAGAAAGAGAGGGTAGTCACCTTCGAACCCAGGAACTTCATCCTTCTGTAAATACTTATTGATTTGAACATCTCTTCTGGAGTGATAATTGAAACGGAATCGCTGGTTGTAATAACCTCAGATGGAAATGAATGTTCACTAGGTTTTAGTAAGACAATGCGGCCGCTGGAAGTGTGTTAGCCCTTTAAGTTTTCTGAAAAAATTATGATGCCGTATTTGGTAAAAAAAAAATTTTTTAATAAAACCTACACACACATATGAAAAAATATCTTAATAATATATTCGTGGTGGTTTCATTTTATATGATCAACTCCTTATATAAAGGTTGAAAGGTGGTCTTATATTTGTACTACCATGACCAAAAGTGTTATCGGAGGTGCAGAGTCTGAGTACCATATGTCAATTGTTTATTTTGTTGCCAACCAAGTTTGCTCTAAATTTTATACCATATTGATTTTTATTACAAGTGATGTATATTCCTATGAAGTTCATAATTTATGGTAAATGAAGCCTGTTTCGGTAAAAGAATTCCCAATAGCGGCAAGAATTGGATTTGCGACCAAATAAAAGATGTTCCTGTAAATCAAACTAGGTTATGAAGGTCGAGGAATTGATCATTAAATGAATTAATGACATGTGTCCGGAATATTGATATCTAAAATGTTTGTTATTGGATTAGAATCATGGGTTAATATTAGATAGAATTTCTAGATTTCCGGATGTAATGGAGAACAGTGCGGAATTGCTTTGAGAGGAATAAAAGGGATGGAACCAGTGGTCCATATAAATTGTGAACTCTTAAATGTACTAAAATAGAATTCTTATGATGTGGGCAGAGGCTTCTATATAACATAATATATATTAACATTTTATACTTATATTATATTATTATTGATGTAGGTTAAGTAGTTTTTTATGTCAAATAATCTCACAAATTCCGTGGATAATTTCTCTTGCGTATACACGATTTTCCAATCCAATAATTAATCAGTAGGCGTCTAGAATTTAAAAATTGCTAAATATATAACTGACTCATTGAGTTATAGTTTCATACCAATAATCAGCTCTACCCTAAAAACGTATTATCTGGCGATGAATTCCTTTAAAGACATCGGTGATCAAATCAAAAAAATTATGGGGAGTTTCGCGAAGGCATCAATTAGGATAACAACAACTATCTTTAGCCCCTTATTCACAGTTAGCGCGAATTTGAGCGAGGAATACAAAAATGCACCATATTTTATATACTTAGCCGCGAATTCGCTCTAACTTTTAATGCAGGGTAAGACAAACTATGTATGTTTTACCTAGATGATTAGAATTCTCCCTCCCAATTTTGTTATAAATTTCTAATTTTTTATTATCCCAATACACAATTTTTTGGTCTTAAACTAAAAAAAAAATTCAAAATATATTGCTTTGTTTGGCTCTTGTTACATTAGCATTTATCATAATTATCTTATATTTTAAATTTGGATTTTTATTATTAGATATTTAATATATCAAAATGATTAATATGATATAATTTAAAAAAAATTTTTATTAGTCCAGCACCGATTTAAATTTTTTTTTTTTTGGGGGGGGGGGGGGGATAAATCTATGATATATTATTTATGTAAGAATATTTTAGTAACCTGACGATAAAACCCGATGAAGGTCCCTTGCCATTTCTTTCATCTATAACCCTTGGCTGGCCACTGACTATTTTGCCGTCGTCGGAAGATTTCCACGTTTTTTCGTATGTGGAACCCTTTTCAAAATTTTTTCTATCATTTTTTTTTAATTTGAGTTAGTGATATCTTATAAGGCGCATATAAATATCAACCTTTTATTAAATATTTTTGGTAAACAAATCAAAGAGGGAACAAAGATTTTTAATCTTGCTTGATCAAAGTTTAGAAAACAACCGGCATCCGCTGACTCGAAACAGTGACAAATATATAAACCGGAAATAACTTTATTTTAAAATTTACTGAAATCCGAACGAGTGTTGTTAAACGGCTCGATTTGAGCCGATTTTTAAAAAGGGCTAACTCAATATTTTAGTTAGAAAATACTGCCTAAGCCTCGAGATTTCGCTAATAGATGTCCAAAACATTTGTGCTACCTATGACCAAAATCTTCAGGCCTTTTTCTATCTAAAATATGAAATCAGCCCTTTTTAATCGCCTCAAATCCAGCCGTTTAACAACACTAATCTGAAGCGGTTCTAATAAAATTCTACGACTCATTTACATATATATTTTCAAAATGTTGCGTGTAACTCATTTCAGAGTTGGCTTATTTAATGTTTAAAAAAAAATTTCACTCCTTATAAAACAAAATTTGGAACCGGAATCAATCTGCAAATCTAAGAACCATAAATGCCATAATATTGAATATCGCTGCCTGAAAATTAGGTTATTCCATATCCGAAATAATTTTTAAAATTGCTCTCCTGTAAAATTACAAAAAAGTGGAAATAGAATAATTTAATTCTCAGGAAACGATATATAGAATCAATTTTTCCTATTAGTGAATACTTGGTCCAAGGGCAGATACTACATAGTCCGCAAAATTTCTCTAATCCCGTTAAATTTTTTTCTGCCTCCCTCATGTCAACATTGATTTGATCCATGCCTTCTTCTACACGATCCAATTGCTCTAAATTGATTTTTTTTTTCAAAATTGAAACATTTATTTATTGATGTTCCAAAAAGGTATATATAATATAAAAAAATTTTAAAAAATATCATAATTCACTATGAATTCATCTATTATAATATCGATTAGTGCCCCTACATATACCTATCAGAATCGTCAAACCGAACATTAATTTTAAATTATTCATTCGGCCCGTTTCCCGTTTCCAAAAATGATAAATGGTCGAGTGTAACCTTCTACAAAATAGGGACGGGGATCGACTAGGTAACAAAATTTTAAAATATATTTCTCGAGCCGAATTTTAAAATAAGTAAAATGAAAAATATTACCTCCTTGTTCATCAAGCATAACTAACGTTCTAATGCCGGCGTCTTTCCCCTATTTTTATTTTATTTTTTTTAAAAAAAAGGAACATATTCTGAAAAATATAAGGATGAGACAGCGCAATTAATATTAATTGTTACTGGGAGGTGCAACGATATAAATTTGTAGATTATTTTCTTCCACTAATATAACTACATTATTTTATGCTTATTTCGTTATTAATTTAATAAGACGGATAAACTAATTTAGATTAAGCGTTAGGATTATTACAATTCTTAAACAATGAAAATGAAGGGAATAAATTTATTCATAATTGAACACTTTAGATATAATACAAAAAAGAATAAGGTAAAGGATTAGAAATTTATTTTTTAATAACTGGTATATAATTCCTGCTAGTTAAGAATTTAGATATTAATATTAAAGATGGAAAAATTCCCCTCTTGCTAATTTGACTCTAAGCTTTTTTAAAAAAAATTTTTTAACTGCCAGTCAAAAAAAAACTAATGTATAGTGTACAGACCTTTTTATTAGAATATTAGATAATAATAAAATTGATCAAAAGGTTTACTTCTTCGCACAAGTTCATCATATTCCGCGTGCTTTCCAGCGACTAAAATAAAAAACAAAAAAAAGTTGTTTTATCTTTTTAAATCATCGCCCCAACATAGCCCTGCGCGATCAGGTTCAACTTTTTAATTACCGGGGCTCAATGGGCGATGGAATATAATAGTCATTAATTTTAGATTTTTGAAAAGAACTTGGGCCTCCCATAGCTCCTGTTAGGTGAAGTCACTATCACATGTTGATAAGCGATCGCTTAGGTATGAATTTTAAATATTATCGTAATGGGAAATGTTATGTATCATTGTCATGTCAATTCTGATTTGAAAAGCTCAAAAGGTTTTTTTATATATATAACAATCGATAATTTATTTCTAATATTAAATAAAATAATAATAATCAAGGTAATAATAAATGTGAAATGTGATGTGTTAGTAGAAATAGGTGGGGAAAAAATTTTCCCATATCCTTCTTTTTTTTCAGATGGGAGCATTAAATGTAATAAGTAAAAATCAAATCTAAAAATTTATTATTACCCAATTTTAAAAAAAATTATTAAAAGATAGGTTTCAATGGTAAAATTCATCTATAAGCTGTTTCTTTAAATTATTACAATATGGTTTATCTGTAAATATTTTGTTAAAGCGGATTTTAATGACTCAAATAAGAGACCTGTAGAGGCCATTTTTTATAGCCTGATCTGATTTCTTACTATCTTCAAGCCCGATCCAGATTTTAAAATATTTTTGACCGCTTTTTTTAAGTTTCGAAGAGAAATTTATATATCAAATGATACATTGTATAATTTTTGGGACTGCGGGTCTGATTAAATATATGCTTGATTTCTTAACAACACAATTCCTTCTTATTTTTTGTGATAAACAATGGAATACCTTTCGATCCAGAAATTATAATTGAATTTATTTGTAAAATCATAGGTTAAATTTTCCGTAAATATACATATAAGGGAAATACACCAATCATTGAAATGATTAATTATCGAATTTTACAACCTAAATGTGGCTAATAGACAATTATCGTCCCACCCCCTTTCCTCGCCCATCCTAATATTACATCCTTAATACCTTCCATGAAATAAAAGTAGAATATTGTAATAAGGAAAATTCAGAGATCTGAAGTCCGAATGGTACTATGAAGATTTTTCGGTCCGGTCCTGTAATTATATTTTGAGAAAGGAAATATCATAAATTGGCATTATTTAAAATATCCCTAAAAAAATTTTGACCGGCTCATTCGGGTGGGTCAAATCCTTGAGACAAATAACTTTAAAAAAAATTTTTTTAATTTTATTTCAAATTATCCTTTTAGTGAATTTATTATTTTTTATTGGTTCACTTTGCCCCATCCCTCAACCCAAATTAAACTTTAATATATATATATAATTTCTTTTTTTTACTTTCATTATCATTTTATTGATGGAATTAGAGATTAAATTGTCACCTTCTACCATAGAAGTAATAGAGGATGAAGTGGAGGCTCTAGCCATAATAATCAAGGATAAAATGAATAACTGACCATAACAGTTTTTTTTTAATGTACGCATAAAAAAATTCAAGTTATATTATTACATTCCTAAAAAATAATTCTCCAACATCCTTTACACCATATTATATTATAAATTGATAATAAAATCGTATTGTGGTATTTTTTTAAAAAATATTTATCTATAAGTCTAAATTAAATTAATTTAATATTTTTTTGCAAACAAAACCAAAAATTCCGAAAAAAATGAAAAATATCAATTTGTTTAATAGCTATTAAAAAAAATATTATTTTTAAAAATAATTATTATATTAATATGATATTATAGTAGAACAGAACATAGAAGAATAATCAATATATAATATAATACTTTTTATATATATATAAAAGTTATAAATTGGGCTTATTTTTTTAAAAAAATGAATAGATATTAAAATGGAAAAATTAAAAAAATTTTTATTATGAATTAATTATAAAAATATCTTATGTTTTATTTTAATGAAGATAGAAAAATATTTAATTTCTTTTATTTTTATAAAGATATAAAAATATATAATTTGATGCACAACAAATACGTCAATTGAAAGAAATTGGAAAGAAAATGAGATTTGATCTTCTTCCCAATAATAAGTACTATAATATAATAACAATAAAACGCGCTTATGACGTTTTGATTTTCGGATCCCTTAAAATCTTATCATTTACAACATCCTGATTACCTAAAATTTTTCATCTCATGAGAGTTTATATTGCATAAATATATTTTATGTTATTACGGTATTTATCATAGACTAGCAAGAACCAAAACACGGCTGGGGCCAAAAAATATGTTTTTGTTGGCAAAATCTAAAAATTAGTCATCAGTTTGGTAAAAAGAAGCTTTTAATTATTCATGTTCATATTTTCGATTTCCCTTTGAAAAAATTTATAAAATGCTCAAATTATTAAAAATAATGACTTTTTATGGGACCGGGTTAAAACTGCTTTGAAATTTGAACAGGATAATCGATACCTTTACAGATGTCTGATATTTATATTTAAATATTAATTTAAAATATTTTTTTTAAATAATCGCTATTAAACAACATCTAATTAATACATTATTGGAATTTTTAAAAATATAATATGAGAGGCAAATATAATTGAGGATAATTTAAATGGAATAAAAATGTTACAAATTATTTTATTTAATCAAAATATAGGTGGGGAAAAAGACGTATAAAATGTTTGCAGACTGGTGCGAACCCTAAATTACAATTTTGAAAGTAATAATAGCGAGTCATTATTAATTAGAAGGTAAGCGTTAAAAACATTTCTAATTATTCACTATTACTTGCTAGTGCTTTGCCAAGTGGCGTCATTAGCGTTTAGCATTAAGATAAATTGTGGGAAAAAATCTTTTGCTCCAATAGAAGGAATGTCACAGGCTCGGCCATTTTTGAATAAAATTAGGATTTAATATTATATCTTACATAAAAATATTTTATACATTTTTGTTTTGTATATAAACATTTTTATACAGATAAAAATAATACAAATTTTGATAGATAAAATATATATAAATGTAAATAATTTATAGGTTAAAGATTCAAGTATAGACCCTCCGATATTAAATGTTTCTAATTAAGAAGAATAGTAGAATCAACAATCGATTGTTCAGTGTTGGCCTTCCACGAGTATGCTAACTCAAAATATGCCATGAGTTTATAATTTCAACTAGGTTATTCTACAGATCGATAATCTATTTAAAAGTCGTAATTTCTTCTTTTCTATTATTAAATTGATTACCCCGAAGTCTGATATGAGTTAGCGTATTGTCAATCAGATATTAGCCAAAAGATTGGGGAGGTGGGCTCATCATCGACTATACCGTTAATGGCAACGGATTTATTTGTCAAGACAAAAAAAACTCAATTTTAAACGAAGTTAGAAAAAATAACATCTTCCTGTCAAGATGTAAAAATCGAAAAAGATGTCATAATTGCAGAAATAATTAACACAGCAAAGTCCGGTAGTGGAAGTTAATGAATGTAATGTAACATTATACTCTAAAAAAAATTCAGGTTAAATAACGGTACAACTTAAATATCACCTTTTCCTAAAAAAAATTTATACATTATATATCACTCCGCTCCATGTTTTAACTGATACACAAAATAATTTTGGAGGTGTAGTCATAAAAGTTTATATTCACCCTACCCCATATCGGGATAACTTTCAGAACCTTAACCCTAACCAAAACCTTGTCCAAGAGGTTGGTTTTCATTAAAAAATATGATACCACTGGGGATTGAACTTAGTCTTCGGATCCATAGTACATATCTCTTCTATCAAATTGCTGCTCCAAGTTGGAGACCCATGGCAATTCAACGTTCTTTGTCCAATTTCAAAATCGTTCATTTTTTAAGTGTCATAAATGAGAGCATAGGCGTAGCTAAGGGGGAGGGCAAGAGGAAATTCCCCCCCCCTTTAGAAATTTATCACTTTTTGTGAATATCATTTTAAGCTAATAAAAAAATATCCCCCCTTAGTCTTCCCCCCACTCCCTGACCCCCAAAAATATATGCATATATATATCTTAAACAATAATTTGAAAGAAAGAATGTAAAAGTTGATAATTTTTTATAAAACTATTCATCATAATTTAAACATTTTTGGAAAAAAACATTTACTAAAAAAAGTGAACCAAAAATTAAGAAATGGAATATAAGCCAAAGATAAGTCTTAAGACAAAACTGAAATGTATTATAATTATTAATAATAGATCCATAACTAAATAATATAATGTATCAAATATAATTTTTTATAAAGTGAGTAATTTTAATTTGTTTATTTTAAATTAAAATAAAATATAATTATAAAACTATTGATAAAATTAAATCTAAATTAAATAAAAAAATTAAAACATAATATAAACAGTGGAATATTATATGTCGTAGATTTACAGTATATCGAATTTTATCAATTATCATATGACAATCATATAATTGTTACCAATATAGCGAATTATATATTTTACAGAAAACTATAAAATATTGATAAGGACATCAGAAAATATCTTTTAAAGATATTTTTGAATAAATAATATGAAGATTTTTTTTTAAATATAATTTTTTATTTAAATAAATAGATGACGTTAAATAATTGAATGCAAATTGTTGCTATATTTATTATCAAGAGCATTTATTTGTAAATTTTGTTAAAATATTAACTGTAATATATTCTCTAACTGTCAAATATGTTTGTAAAAGTGGAATTTTACCTTGTATTTTGTAACCAATTCTATATAATAGAGGAATATCAACTATATGTCTACTTACTTTTTATAAATAAATTCCTTATACTTGTTTGGAATAAATGATTACCATGCTTTTATATTAATGTATATACAAGTAATTTATTATATTTTATATAAACTAATAAAAATATATTTCATATGTGTTCCATGCTTATTTTTTTTATTAAAAATAACCTCCTCTCTTGTAAAAATATTTTATGACTATATATAGACTAAGGTAACTCGGCCGAAGGCCCGCTCGAAATGGG